CTAGAATCTAATATCGTTCTTTCAAATATATACTAGCTTCTTTTTCATAAGCAAAACAACTTCCATTTAATGACCAGTTTATTTATCATGTACTTCAAAAAAAAAATAATAATTATTGAATAATAATAATTTATCAATTTATCTATCATGTGCCCTTGAGGCACAAAATAAAAAGTAAATATTAAAAAATCTTGAAAAAGATGTTATTTTTGTTTTAATTGCCAAATGTTACGTGCTAGTTTTTTTTTTTTATTGATTCTTTTTGAATAAAAATCAGAACTTGTACTTTTTTATTTAAAATTTCACATTTTTTTAAAATAATTTATCAATTACATAGTAATTACTCTTTATCACGACCCTTAGACTATACAAACCCATGATTCAAGTGTATAATTTGATTATATAATTTGATTCATGTCATTTTAATCGGTCATGGCATATATACTTGATTGCTGAAAATAATTAGAAGGTCCACACAAAAAAATACCCTTATTTTCTATGGACTTGCCTTGGCTTCAATGAACGAGGTTTCAATTACCGAACTACATCCAAGATACCGTAGCTAGTATCTCTGTCAATTTTATTTGTTACATTTTTACTTGATAGTATTATATAAGAAATTATAGAGATTCATAAAACGGAAAAAAAAAATTCCAGATGTTTTACAATTGAAAATGTTAGGACATTTAATAATTGTCACATGATGAACTTGATAAAGATAGAACCCACATTATGGCTGCATGTTTAATAGTTATTGTGAAAATTGTGCATTTGCATCCAACCTAAAATCAATTGGTGATAGGTGGAGTAGTTCTTTTCTCACTTAACACGTCCACTCATGCATAGGCCCACAGCTTAATATGCCTCCTTACCCTTAGATCCAAACATTGTCAGGTAGGCTAATAACGGGTTTTCTAAAATGGAACTTGGGTGTTAATAGTATATGAAAATTGTGTATGTGGGTTCAACACAAGTTTTGCATTTAATTTAAAACCAATTGGCAATAAGTGAAATAGCCCTTCTTATGTATGTGGGCTCAATACAAGTTTTGCATTTAATTTAAAATCAATTGGCAATAGATGAAATAGCTTTTCTTATATTTGACCCATATATTTCTTTGTTTTAGACTCGATGTAGGATTGTCCCACTTAACAATTATAATTGGATGTACAAACATTTTTTAAAAATAGGATGTCTTGATTTTTCTATTTTGGATTTTTTTAACATGTGCTCTTAAAAGTGTAATTATTGCACTTTTTTACATTAATTACTATTGAAAAAATAAAAATTAACTTTTATTTAAATAATTATCTAATTAAAATGATCCACAAGGCACTAATGGTGAAATAAATGACAAATTTTGTACTTTTAATAATAATTAATGAGAAAAGGTGCAACTCTTAATGAGTACAAGTTAGAAAAATCCTTTTTTTTTTATATAAAAACACACTTATTAATAATTAAAAATTTCATTTTTACACTTATTGGTAAGGGTAATCGGGAAGTTAAAATGTTTTATTTTTAAAAGTAAAGTAATTATTAATAGAAGTAAAATTGAAAAAATTATAAAGTTATATCCTCAATAGTTTTTGAGAAAAAAAATTGATACATTTTTCAATTCAATACAATTATCAACACTTATTGATTCAACTATTTACTTTCCTTGAAATTGTGCTCAAGACAAAAAGTAGCTAAAATTAATGTTCCCTTCTAATATTTCAGGGCAAAAATAGGACTCAAATCACCTTCCTCTGAAGCAATCTTTTTCCGCTCATGAGCACTGTTCAGAACATCTTTATTCTTCTCTAGACATTTACTAATGTTATGGCCAAGACATTTGCACAAGCTACAAGTTTTCACTTGTTTTGCCAACTCTTTTCCTCCTTTCATCCTCTTTTGCTTAGGGCATCCTTTAGTTTTTGAGATGGGAGAACAATGAACAAGCTCAACATTTTCTTCAATAGGATTGGTCCCTTTTGATTCCTCCTTATCTGAATTTATAAAATCTTCCACACATTGTAAATCCTCATGGCACCATCGTGGCAAGAAGTATATAGAAGGAATTTCAAAACAGTCTTTATGAAGAAACAAACTTAGCATATGACAACAAAGTAATCCCTGAAATTCAAAAAACTTACAACCATAAGTAGCAATCTTGCCATCCCAAAATACTTTGTGCTCTTGACCATGTAACGCTTTATGGTGTTTCACCTTGAACTCCACATGATTTTCTTCAACAACTATATGTTGAGTGGCCAACCTAAATTGTTCTTGGAATATTTTGAAGGAGAAAGGAGTTAAGACCTTGTGAGCTTGCTCTTCTAGAGGAGACATGGTTCTTAAATAAGATCCTCGATAAGTCTCCAACAGAGAGTCATGTAATTGAGTTTGTCTAATATCTTTAATGGCAAGATCAATCTACAAACATATAAATGAAAATTTAAAAATATAATTGTGATAAAAAAAAGGGAAAACATGTAAAATTATTTTTGACAAAAATTTATGCTTACTTGCTTGACCAATTGGCTTAGTGGGAAGATATAAATCACTTTATAAAAGCATTTATACTTTCAGATCTCCCAGTAGTAGTCATGCCACCCAAAAAATGACTGCGAAGATAGGCTAGCACCCAAAAATACTTAATATCATACAATCCCTTCACATGCGCCTGGGTTCGCGCGACGAAACCCAGGCGCTTGGGTTCGCGCGACGAAACCCAGGCGCTTGGGTTCGCCTTTCCAGCAAATGTGAAAAAAAAAATTTTTTTTGAAGGCCGGAGGAAGGAGAGGATGGGAAGAAGACAGGGGTAAATTAATAATTAAAGTCTCACAAAATAAGTTTTAAAATATTTATAATGATAATTATGTAATTAAATGAGTTTTAAAGGCACATCAGATCAAAAATTTGGCCATGTCATCAATTTTTGTCAAATGAACTTTTCGCATAATTTAAATAAAGAAAAATAAATAAAATTTCCATTAATTAACCTATCATGTTAGTCAAAATTTAACGGATGGACTAAAAATAAGTCAGATTTCAAATTTTAAGAACTAAAAAAAGGATTTTTTCAGTACAAAGGCTAAAAAGGACTTTTTCCTATAGTAAAGGGACTAAAAAAGTATTTAACCTTGTTAAAAACCACTGCTTCTCAAATTCTTAAGTATCCAACCTATACAACCTATAAAAGTCTGAGCACCAACTTGAGTATTGATTTCGAAGAACTGAGGTAAACCAGCCACTGAATTTACTTGTTATATGCCATACACAAAAACCATGTT